TCCAAGTAAGAGCAGATGGAGCAGAAAGAAGGGGCCGGAGTCTGAGGTGAAGGAAGACGGAGAACTGACGGGGGAGGGGAGTGGAAGAAAATTGGCTGGCACACAGGAGGTGCTCCGTAAAGGCCCATTTCCTTCCCCGGGGGAAGCGGGGGACAGCAGAGGCCACAGGCCAGTGGGGACCACAAGGGAGAGGAGAGGCCAGGAAGCGCAGGCCACGGCTTGGCCAACCGCAGGTGCCCAATTAAAGGGGGTTCCTTGCCCTGGAAGAGCAGAGAGGCCGAGAAGAAAAGGAGGGGACAGAGGAGAGACGGGCAGGGACAGGGCGTGAGGAAAGGGGAGCGCGTGGTCGAACGCCTGGCACACAGTAGGCGCTCAGCCCGCGTCCATTCCCGCCCCCGGGAGGGGCAGAAAGGAAGGAGAGGAAACCGAGAGGGAAGCCGGGTGCGGGCAGGAGAGAGGAGACGGCGCGCGCCCCGCTCGCAGCGGGCGCCGGAAACGCGCGTCTCCTCCCCCGAGGACGCGGGTGGGGAGGAAGGGCGGGGAGCGCGGGGCCGGGGCAACGCGCGGGGACTGCCTGGCGGACGCCGGGGGCTCACTAAACGCCATTTCCCCCCGGTGCGGGGGCAGAGGCACGGGCAGAACCAGCTGAGGGCCCAGGAAGGGACGCGGAGACTCGAGGGCGCGGGCGAGGCCGGGGCACTCCCCGCACACGCAGCAGGTGCTCCCGCGGGCCGCGAGCAAGTGGAGGCCGGGGAGGGAGGAGCGCGAGTCGGAGCGGAGGCCTCCCGGCCGCGGCCCCTCCCCCGGCCCGGCCGCCCTGCGAGGGCCGGACAAGGGCGCCTTGTCCTGTGCCTGGCACGGCCGGGTGGGCGGGAGGGGCCGACCGCCCTGCCCCTGTCGCTGTGCCTGGGGGCGGGGCGGGGCCACCGCCTGGGCTCTGTCTCTGTCTCCGAGTCCCTCCCGGCCCCTCCACGGCCCCCGCACCCTCTGTCTCTGTGCCTCGCAGCCTCCCCCATCGCTGAGTCCCTGGCCCTCTGTCTTGCCCTCTTTCTCACCGTCCCTGTCTGTCTCTGCCTCTGGGTGTCCCTCTGCATCCCTCTGCCTCTGTCCCTGGGGTCTCAGTCTGTCTCTCAGCCTCTGGTTCTCGCTGCCTCTGGGAGGGAGGACCCCCAACCCCAGCCCTGGCCCCAGTTCCTGCCCCCCACCTACCGGGGCTCCGGGGATCAGGGCGGGAGGGTGGGGGCGCTGAGCTCAGAGGCAGAGGAGTGAGGAAGGGAAGAAGGAGGCGGAGGAGCGAGAGAGGTGAGGATAGAAACAGCTTTATTCAGCAGAAACCGCCGCAGAGGGCCCGGGACAGGGCTGCATCGGAGAGCTGGAGAAGGAGGTGGGGTCAGGGGTCAGGAGGGGGAGACAAAGTCGGGGAGAGGCAGAGAGAAGGAGGAGGAGGGGAAGAAGAAGAGAGAAAGAAGGAAGATGGGAGAAAAAGAAAAGACACAGGAAGAAGGAAAGAAAGAAAGAAAAGAAAGAAAGAAAGAAAGAAAGAAAGAAAGAAAGAAAGAAAGAAAGAAAAGAGAAAGAAAGAAAAAGAAAAAGATAAGATAGAAAAGAGCAATTGAGAGACCAAGAGAGACAGACACCCAGGGAGAAGGGAGAGAGGGCTGAGGAAGAGTCAGAGATGGAGAGAGAGACGGGAGACAGGGTCAGAGAAAAGGAGAAAGGGAGAGAAAGGAATGGAGAGAGAAGGAGAGAGACGCAGGGAAAGACAGGCAGGGGGGAGAGAGGCAGAGAAGAGAAGACAGAGGTGAGGCTGACGGAGAGGACGGAGGCAGAGAGATTTAGAAACTGGAGGAGGAGAGACACGGAGAGCGAGAGGGACAGAGATGGGAAGAAACACAGAAAGACAGAGGGGGAGAGGGAGAGGGAGAGCGCGCGAGCCGGAGAGGCTGGAGCCGCTGGCTGGGGAAGTCGAGGAAGGATGCGCCCATCTCACCTGGCCTCGTCGTCTGTGGCCCCCTGTGGGCTGGACCAGGCGATTTAAGGGGTGCCCCAGGGGCGGGGCCGCTCCCCCACTGCCTTATCTGGTCAGCCTCGAGCCCCACCAGCTAAATCGGGCCTCAGCTGTCAGCACCATAGGCCGAAGGACAGCTGTCCCCCCCACCTGCTGCGACACCACAGGGCCCCTGCTCCCCACCCGTCCAGCAACTGGGGTGGGTGCTGAGAGGCCCCTGAGGGTCCGCATGAGGACAGCCGGCGCCCCCAAAGCCCCTGCCAGCTCTGGGGCCGGCCTGGTGGGGCACCCGGGAAACTGGGCGTTTCCTCTCCCTCCCGTGTGAAATGGGGTCCCCGGGGCGGCCTGTGCTCCCCAGGAGCTCACAGTAAACGCCCAGTCAGGGCGCTGGCCCTGTGCCCAGGAGGGTTAGTGAGTGAGGGGGGCCGGGACCTGCCTGGACCCTTCCCCTCCCCGAGCCCCCCCTCCCCGGCTCCCCACTCGGACCATATTAGGGCACAGCTGCAAAGGCACCTGGAGAGGTCACTTGGGGCCCAGAATAGAAACACTTAGGGAGTCTCCGCCAGGCTGTCTGGGACCGGGTGGGACAGGCGACAGGCACAGAGGGAGAAGGGGGCCCAGGGAGACAGGCACAGAGACACAGGGGCCGAGAGGCACAGAGAAACATCCAGAAGGAGAGACCTCTCGGGACACAAAGCAGGAGACAGATGGGGTCAGAGGGCCAGCTGGGGAGGCAGGGGGAGGAAGAGCCTAGAAGGAAGCCGTGGGGCAGGGTTGGCCGCAGGGCCGCCCCGGAGTTGGGGTGTCCGGGACCCCAGCTGTTTTTCCCTCCTGCTGTTTGACTTCTGCCAGTTGCCCTTTGACCTGTGGAAGTCTGGGGAACGAGAGTGCCCCAAAGCCCGGTCCCCACGTGTGCGGCCAGCTTTCACAAGGAGCGCGTGCTGCCGCCGGCGGCCTCTGCTCTCTGCCTGCTTTGGGGGGTCAGGGTTTGGCTCCTTGGATGAATTTACTGTTTGGGCAGAGCACGACCTAAAGCCAAGGTGGGGAGGGGGAGGGGAGACACGCCCTAAGCTGGGGCCCGGAGCCCACAGCCTCCCCGTGGTCCCCGTTTCTGCCCAGCACTAATGGGGAGGGGGCGCCGCTTTGCACAGACCCCTCTCTGCCCACTTCCCTCCCTGGGCTCTCACACCCTCATGCCTCCCAGGACCTGCCCTGGACCCTGGAAGTCACCTCCCTCACCCCTGGCCCTGGCCCCTCCCCATGTCACCCAGCCTGTCACATCCCTTATCGCCCACTGAGCACGTGTCCGCCACACCCACTGCCCCCCCCGCGCTGTCTCAGGGCCAGGCCCCTGGGCACCTTCTCTATTCGCTCTTTCCCTCACCCCAGAGCCTGCCAGGCCCAGACCTGTCCTTTCTGTCACCTCTTCTCTGTCCCCAAGGTCCTGCCTCAGGCCTTACCCTCTGCCAGGTCTTCAGTCTGCCCAGCAAACCAGAGGGGTCTCTCTGCACTCGGGACTGACCTGCCCCCCACCGCCCCCAAACCCCCCCAGCTCACCCTGGGGGCCCGCGGGTTTGGGCCTGGCCAGGATCCACGCTCATCTCTCCTCACGCGGCTGTAACTACAGGGCTCACTGCTTCCCTCTGCGCTCCCAACTCTGGAAAGGCGCCCCCCCTCCCGCCGCCACCGGCCTTCTGGAGAGCCCCTCAGCCTGCCACAGGCAGCCTCCCCGGTCCCCTCACCTTCGTGCGGCCCCCGGAGTGCCCCAAGGGACCCCTGCTATAGCCGCCCCCCCAATGGGACAGGCAGTCCTCCCCCTCCTCCCGAGAGCTGGGGTGGGCGAGCGCCTGGATGCGCAGCACAGACCCAGAGCTGGGGCTCAGGGGGCGGCTGAAAACCAGGCAGAACGAGGGGCAGGGGTGGCAGGAATGAACAGCAGGCTCTGAAGGGACCACACAGGACAGGACGGAGGCCTGATCGGGGGACAATGTGGAGAAGGCACCTTCTGGGAGCCTGTCCTCGCTCTGTTTGAAATTGCTGCCGCCCGGAGCACCCCCTTCCCGCTTTGTCGCCTGTCCCCCCTCCCCTCCTCCCTCCCTGCCAGGCAGGGCCTGCCCCAGGGCCTTTGCCCTGCTGTCCTCTCAGCCTGGAGAGCTTCCCCTCCTGACCTGCCCTGGCTCCTTCCCCTTCTTCTGGCCTTTGCTCAGTGACGCCTTGTCTGTGGGGCCCTCTGCCCTGAGTGAACCCCACCAGCGAAGAAACCGCGGCTTAAAGCAACACCCGTCCTCCTGACGCTTGTGCCGGCCAGCAGTGCCCAGTGAGCCCCATCGGGCCAGCGGCCTTCTGGGGCTGGGGGAAGGCTGCTTCCTTGCCTGTCCTGGCCCTCACTCCCTGGCCGTCAGGCTCCTTCTGTCTGCAACGCGCAGCGTCATCGTCATCGCCTTTCTCAAATCCTGCTTCCCTCTTCGCATCTTTCTCAACCTCTCCCACCTGGCCCCCGCCGCTCAGGGCCCTCATGATTCTCCCGAGAGAGCAGGAGCCTCGCTCCCTGTCTGAAGGCCAGCTCCGAGCACCCTCAGTGCCCTCTTAAGCCTTTGTTCTGTCCCCCGGTGTCCTGTGACCAATACATTCCGTTTCTGGGGTTAGGATGAGGCCATCTTTTGGGGCAGTTACTGCAATCCACGAACAGAATTGAGTCCAGAAGTAAACCCATGCTTCCCCCTGCACTTACCCCAGTGAACCCTCCAGAGGGTGCCTGTTTGTTGGCTCCCAGTCTCCCCCTGTCCCTGGACCAGGACATAGGCCTCACAGGGGCAGGGAGGAAACTGAGGCCCAGGGGAGAGGGACTCACAGGAGGTCACAAACTTGGGGGGCAGTGGGAGCCAGCGTTGGGCAACGACAGGGCCCGCCCGGGTGGCCAGCTTCGCTGATCGCCCGAAGTGACTGAGGGAAAGGGGCCCCCAGTCAGACGCGGCCAGGCCAGGCTGGAGCAAAGGAGCAGCTTTACTGAGGCAGCAGCACGTGGGGTGCAGGGCAGGGTCCGCGAAGCGAGGTCCAGGCCCTTCCTGCACAGGAGCCGGACGTGGACTCGCAGGGACCCGCTGGGCGGGCAGCGTGGATCCTGCCTCCGCGGGGTCAGTCCATCTGCAGCCAGCAGCCCTTTTCCTCCACCTCCTTGGTCACCACCAGCAGCACCTGGCACAGGTCCTGAGCCAGGGCGGCCGCCAGGAAGGCCCTGGGCGGAGAAACGGGGAGGCTGAGGCCCAGGTGGCCCGGGCATGGCCGCCTGGGATAAGGGGCCCAGTCGCTGCCCCTCACCTGACGCCGTCCTCATCCCCCAGCGCCTCGGGCGCGCGCAGCTTGGAGTCCAGGTTGTAGTAGACGCCGTCCACCTGGCGCAGGGCCACCCAGTGCCGCCGACGCAGTGGCAGGGACAGCAGCCCCAGCGACACGGGCGAGGGCAGGTTCAGGATCAGCCCCAGCACCTGGGGCAGGGCCAGCTGGGACAGGGGCCTGTGAGGGTGAGGCAGCGACACCGCGGTCAGGGCTCAGCGTGTGCGGCTGGCGGAGCCGCCCAAGGACTCCCCTCGGTCTGCACGCCCTTCCCTTCCTTCCATTCACCCGTCCCCGCCCCGCACACACGCTCATCCCTCACCCTCCACCGCCTGTCGCCCCGTCACCCGCCCGCTTACCCGTCCATCCGTCACCCGCCTCCCCCGAAACCTCGCGGTCAACCATCCGCCCCCGATCTGCTGTTCATCCCACCACCACCCACCCACCCAAGCCCCCAACCACCATCCGCCCCACTCTCCACCCACTCTTCACACACCCACCGTGGATCCAGCCACGATCCGCCCATTATACACCTCTCCACCCCCATCCAAAGCTCCCGGCCCCCTGACGACCATCCGCCATCCTACCACCCAGCACCCCAAACGTCATTCACCCAGGGACGCAATCAACCACCGTCCAGCCAGCCAGCCCCTCCTCCGCTCTCTACCCACCCGCCTCCCGTCCACGCAACTGCCTGTCAGTTAACTGGCCGCCCTCTGTTCACTCAGCCGCTCACTCACCCAGCCATTCCTACAGCCCATCGCCCAGTCGCCACCCACTCAACACATCCAACCATCCATTCGCCATCCAGTTAGTCACGCAGTTGTCATGAATTTACCTGTCACCCATCCATCAATACCCATTGACAGTCCAGTCATCCCACGCATCCTTCTACCACCTCCGACCCATCAGTCTGCCAGCCTCCTCCCCGCATCCGCCCCCTCCCATCCCCGCTCCCTCCGCGCTGGCCATCACCGCCGCGCCTGCTGTGCCGAGCCCTGGGTCCTACCTCCTTCTGTCCCACCACACGGCGGCCAGGCCCAGCCCCTGCAGCGCGGCCATGATCACGTTGACGTCATAGTTGCCAGTGCCCAGGAGGCTGCGATGGGGGTTCAGCCGGGACTCCGGGGCCAGCCTGGTTGGGAGGCGATCAGAGCCTGAGCTGGAGCCCTTAGAAAGGCCTCGCCCTCCCTGCAAGCATGAGCGTCCTGGGGCCCGGGCGTCGCTCAGCCTTTGTGCTCCCCTCTCCTCGGCCCCCATGGCGCACCAGCCCCAGGCCCTGCCCTCCAGCCACGCCTCCCCGCTCAGGCCTTGTCCTCCTCCGCCTGGACCCTCGCCCCACCTCGTCTCCCCCCCCCACCGTATCCCCTCTCCCACAGGGCCCGGTGGCTCATTCCATGCCTGGGGCTGGCCTTGCCCCTCCCCTGCTCCCAGCCCTCCCGGGTGCCCGTCACCCCAGGGGGGAGTCCCAGACCCTCAGCCTAGCCTCCCAGTCCCACATGGTCAGGTCCCTGTGGCCTCCTAGCCTCAGTGCCCTCGACCCCTTCCCAGCCACCTGTCCCCAACCACATCTCTTGTACTCCTGCCCCAAGCCTTTCCTCTGGCTGTCCACTAGCCCAGGAGGGCCACGCAGCCACCATTTGTCTCTCTGGGAACAACAGTACCTTTGTTCTCTCTCTGGGCCCTTGGTGGGCAGGGCAGGGGAGGGGTCGGAGAGGGAAAGTTTGTATTATTTTTCTGCGGATCTGTTTTCCTGGCCCCCTCAGGGCAGGGCTGCTACGGGACCCTGGGTCTCTGGCAGGGACTTGCTGCGAAAGAGTCGATGGCTCCCTGTTCTGAATGACTGAGGAGATGAGTCAGTTCTCTCACCATCAGTTTAAGGGGCTGGGACTCAGCCTGAGGATGTTGGGAGCCCGAGGAGGGCAAGACACCACAGGGTCACCTGAGGTGTAGGCTCACGTGAGGACCTGACTGGAACGGAGAGCCTGGAGGCCGAGGGGAGGGCCCAGAGGACGATGGGGCCTGAGCTGGGGCCGGGGATGTGTTTGTGTGTATGTGGGGGTGGGGGGGCGGGTTGAGGCAGAGAGGTAATAAAGCGTTTGAAATCTTAAATAGGGAGGAGAAACGTTCCAGGCTGCCAAGAGGAGGAACCGTGCCAGGCAGAAACAAGAGGCCATACAAAGGCCCAGAGGCATCATGGTGGGGCTCCTTCGCCCCTGGAGAGGAACGCAGTTTGGGGGTAGCGGCGAGATATGAAGCTGCAGGGGCGGGTGGGGAGCCTAGCACGCAGGGCCTTGGGTATCAGGCTGCAGGCCTTGGGCCCTCTCCCAGGCGAGCTAGGGAGCCACGGCAGGGCTGCGGTCAGGGGAGGAGCGTAGAAGGGACGGGAGGTGAGAAAGAGGAAGCTGGGAGGCCAGAGGAGGAGTGGGGGCCAGGGCCCAGGGAAGAGAGGGTGAGGTAGGGATGGAGGCCCAGAGGAGAGAAGGCGAGGCCCGAGTCCAGGCGAGGCCCTGGGGATGGACAGGTGCGGCAGGCAGAACGTCCATCTCCGAGTCCCAGGGTCCCACTCAGGTGACGGGCGGCAGAAAGCCCCAGGGCTCCGCCCCTCCCTTGCTGAGACCCAGGTGGGTGGTTCCGCCTCTGTGAGCCCTGCTTCTCCAGGTCCTCGGGTGGGTGACGGTCACCTCTTGCAGATCTCATCAGCAGCCTCCTGGCTAAAGAGCCGCTGCTGCAGGACGTTGTTGAGCGCGTGGATGGCACACAGCTCCAGGCGCTGCCGCTCGTGGTACACAGAGGGTGGGCCTGGCTGTGCTCCTGGGCCCTGGGACATGCCGCCCTCCGTTCCTGCTTGGGGGGCGCGGGAGAAGGTGCTCAGGGGACCGGGATCTGGAGGCCCACACTGTCAGCAGGTTCTGGGGCACTACCGTTGAGGCGGGGGCTCGGTGCAGCCTGAGGGGCCACTGAGCCCCTGACTCTGCTCCCCAGTCGCTCTCCTGGCAACAGGGAACCTCCATCCCCCATTCCTAGGAAAAAGACTTCCTTTTCTGCTCACCTAGCAACAGAGGACCACTCTCACCACATCCCTAAGTGAAAGGGTCCTATGGTGGTCACCTAGCAAGAGAGGAACCACCTCCCCGCTCCGTCCTAGGTAACAGGCTCCGTCTCTGGCTACCTAGCAACAGGGATACCCCCCACCCCACTAGGTAACAAGTCTCTGTTCTGGTTACTTAGCAACAGAGGAATCCTCCTCCTTCTCCGTGTCTAGGTGACAGGGTCTATTCTGGTCGCCTAGCAACAGACGACTCCCCTCCCCTGTCACTAAACAACAGGGTTTTCTCTTCCTGTCACCTGGCAACAGGGCCCCTTCCCCGGACACAAAGTAACAGCCCTATGCCCAACGCACCCCAACCGCGGCGCTTGCCCGTTGCCAAGCAACGCCCCTCACCCCGCCTGCCTCTCTGCTCCCCGGAATCAGGGGCTCCCGCATCCCCCTGGGCGGCGGCTCTGGGCTCCGAGTGCGGGGCGGGAAGCTCGGCGCTGACTGGGCAGGCGGGGCGGACTACAGCTCCCGGCACCCACCGCGTTCTGGACTACGACTCCCGGCGGCCCTCGCGAAGACTCTAGCTTCGCACGGAAAGTCTGGGCAGCCTGGCCCGGAAGTCCGCTATTGCCCCGAAAACGCGGAAGGGCAACTTCCGTCGCTTTCTGCGGAGGATCCCTAGTGTGCCCTGTAGAGGCCTAGGCCTTCGTTCACCGCCACGCCCTCTGCTTCTCAGGGGGTTCTGGGAAATGTAGTGGCTAGGCTATCGCGATAGTTTCCAGGAGCTTTGCTCCGCCCCCCTGATGTGGCGTGATGCACGGGGTGAAGGTGCAGCGTGACGTCACAGAAGAGAACAAGGGATCAGAAACAACAGGCTCTGCAGTGAGAAGAGCCTCCAATCTTTACTGAGACAGGAGGGAGGTCTGGGGAAACCGAGTCCGGGGAAGCAGCAGGACAGTGGTGGTGGTGGGGAGCGGGGCGGTAAATTAGAGGAGGATGTCCTCTGGCGGTGGGTGTTGGGGGCCGGTGGAGACTTCTCAGCAGAGATGGATTCCCGGCCTGGAAGGGAGCTGGCAGCATCCTGCAGGGGAGATACCGGGAGTGAAAGGCTGAGACCAGGAAGCAAGAGACAAACACCTGGAGGAAGGAACAGACCAGGGCGGGGATGGAGGAAGACCTAGAGAGAGGGACTGAGACCCAGGGGGGGACGGAGGCCCAGATAAAGGGGCAGAGACCTGGGGAGTGGCCAGAGATAGGGAGAGGTAAAAAGATTCAGTCATGGCGTAGGTTAGGGAGATTCAGAAATGAAGATGAACCAACAGACAAAAGCAAAACTGCACAACCAGAGCCTGAGACCCAAGCTCTGCAAAGCACAGAGCCCATGGCTTGGTGACCCTGGGGCCATTAACACTGGGGCACTGGGGAGGGACCTGTTCGTACTCAGGAGGCTGCGCCAGAAGGCGGTGACAGTGGCAGAGCCGGTGACGGCGCCTGGCTCCGCGGGGTTCTCTCTGTGGGTGTGCACAGCAAAGCTTCGTCCTGTGGGGCCTGGGGGTCCTCTCAGCTCCACATCCACCACATGCATGTCTGTGAGGCTGGGGCAAGCAGGGTGGTCAGTCTGGCTGGCCTGCCCCCGGCCCAACCCCTTGCTTAGTGTCGCTCACCTGAGATCGGCCACAAGCACCCCGATCACGCGGTCGAAGCCCAGGCTGGGGGCGGCCAGGGCAGCAGCTGCCATGGTGTTGGAGTTACGGGGGGCAAAGGGGCAGAGCCCGCGGACAGGACCTTCATAGAGCACAGTGCGGGGCCCAGTGCTGCGCACGGCAGCCAGGGGTCCCTCGAGCCGGAAGCCATCTGGATGTGTGGCCATAGTGACACGGAGGCTCTGGAAGGGGGAGCCAGGGTCAGGGGCACCGGGGCTCCCTGCAGGGCCCCTCCGGTTCCCAGGAAGCCTAGCAGGCCCTCACCTGGAGGCCCCCAGCTGAGTCCAATCTGCTGATGTCCTCAGTGCCCCAGAGGGCCCCCCGGGCCACGAATACGGCATGGTGCCAGCGGTTCGAGGCCTCCAGGAGCTGCTGCTCTGTGGCCTGGTCAGCCAGGGCTGAAGGGGACCCTACCTGGGGTGGGTGGAGGTGGGAGGGGCAGAGGTCAGGGGACCGATCCCACTTTGGGGAGGGGTGGGGCCAAGGAGGAAGGGGCCGGGCTCACCAGGAGATTGGCATGGCGCAGAATCTGTGCTCCAGATTCGTGGATTATTTTGGGATGGGCGACTTCTACCACCAGGTCAGGGTGCCTGGGAGGGGGAGAGATGGGGAGGACCCGGGAGAGGTATTAGGGTCTCCTCCCCAGATTTCCTCAGTCTGTAGAGGCCTGTGATCCTTCACCCTGGCCTGGGAGGGGAAAGCAATGGATGGGCTTGTCCCATTTCACATTTGGGAGAACCAAGGCCCAGAGAGGGTAAGGGACTTGCCCGAGATCACACAGCCGCTAAGGGAGGCCAGAACAGGAGCTTCATTCAGGGAGCCCTGCTCTCTCCTGCCAAGGCCACTGACCTCTCCCCCAAGGCATCGAGGCTCTGCAGCTGCAGGGACTGGGGCACGGTTTCTGCCATTCGTCCTGCATTGCGATTCCAGACAAAAACAAGTTCTAGGCCCAGCTCCGGTCCCTGAGTCAGCAGGTGGGAGACCAGGGACTGTCCTGGGGAGAGGGAAAGAGACTCAGAGGAGGGGGGACAGAGACCCAGAGAGAGGGGGACAAAAACCCAGAGGGGGACGAAGCCCCGTGGTGGGCAGGGGAAGCTGCTACGGCAGACGGGCAGCCTGGGCGCAGATAGATAGAGACGCAGGTGAAAGGTGTGTTTGTGGAGGACACGGCCTCTGGGGGCTTTGGGAAGGGACTGGGGGAGGAGGCCCAGACAGGGACTCACCGAGACGGCCGTAGCCCACCACCCCCACCCTCCGCGGGACCCCGTCCAGGGCCATGTCCTTGAGCCTGGTGGTCTGCGGTCTGGGTCTGCGCTCCGTCAGCTGCTGGCTGCCCGCCCCCCACAAATGAGGCCTGGGCAGCCGCTGATCTTTGGACATTTGACCCTTGAGCCTCTCCCGAGCCTTCCCCCTTTCCCTCAGCAGCCGAGAGGTGAGGGTGCCAGCTTGCTGGGTGGGGGCGGGGTGAGGTCCTGGGGACATCGGACATGATGTTTTGGGGTTCCAGGGGGCTCTGCGCAGACCTTGCTGCAAGGGCCAATTCCTTCCGCGCGCGTCACCCTCCTCCCTCCCTGCTGATGTGGAAAATTTCCTCTGCAGTCCCCCGCCCCGCTTTCTGGCAGGCCAGGTTGTCATGGTAACTGCATCCTGCTTGGGGTGGGGGTTGAGGGTTGGGAGCAGGGAGAAGAGATGGTGACAGGGACTCTGGGCTCTCGCAGTCTGTCCCCTTGCTCCTGCATTTCCTATCTCCACCCTTTCGGCCACTGCCCCAGGCCCTGGCACAGTGTTCGTGCCCATGTTCCTCCCGTTGGGCCTCCGTGTCTGTCTCATCCTCTCAGGCAGCATCTGTCTCTGCCTCCCTAGACCTCCAGCCTTCCAGCCCCCACCCCTCCCCACCCCCCATCTCTGCGGGCTCGCCGCCATTCTGCCCCTAGCCAGGCCCGGCCCTTGTGTCCTCCTCGCCAGGCAGGGTCCGAAGGAGGCCTCGCCTGGTCATTCCCGGCCTCCCCACAAGGCAGCGGGGGCTGGAGTTCGGCTCCTCCCAGCCCCTTGTCCGGAGCCTCCCTCAGTTCACCTTGGCTTCTCACCTTTCATCTTCCTCTTCCCCAGCCACCATGCCACCAGCATCCCTCCCAACGTCCCTCCCCTCTCTCCACCCCAAGGAGAAGCCCAGGAGGCCTGGAGAGGCCAAGTGCCCCCCAAAATGAGCCCCAGCCAGCGTGCCTCATGGGTGCCTGGCATCGGAAATGGCGGAGGCTGCGGCAGTGCCGGCTCCCTGCCCCCAGCCCCCAGCCGCCACCTGGTACCCGCTGCAGCGTTGCCATGGCAACCAGGATGGCTCTGAAAGAGGATGAGGGAGAAAGCATGAAAGAGGAAGGGAGGGGGAGTCCCAAGCCGACAGGCGGCAGAGCAGACCGATAGGGCCTGAGACCCCAGCCACGGTGGCCGCTGCCTGCGCCGATGAGGGAAGAATCTGCTCTAAGAGCTGCAGGTGGGGGAGAGATGAGATGCTGTCGGTGGGGACATCAGGGCCTCCTGTGGATCCCCACCTCTGTCCTCAACCCCATGGGGCCTGGGTGTTCCCTGCAGCACCCACAGCTGCTGTGTGGGGGGCCAGGGTGGGCCACGGTGAGGGGAGGCATGGGGCTGAGGCCCGGTCTGCTCCCCGGCCCGGGCCCGCGTGTCCATGGTTGAGCTTCATCCTGAGCGGACCGCTGCCTCCACCCACCTTGGCCTGTCTGGGCGTCGGGAACGGTGGCCCTGGCCCTCTAGAGGCCAACTTGCCAGCACCTTGGCCTCCCTCGGCCCCACCAGCAGCGGACCCCTGGGTTTGGTCCCTCTTGCTGGCTCCCGTCCCTCTGGTGGGAGGCTCAGCCTGCAGCCCTTGCCCTGGGCAACAGCATGGCCCCCTCCCTCTCCCTAGGCCTGGACCCCATTTCTCCTGCCTGTAGTTTACAAGACAAAAGGCAGCTCTCCCCACCCCGCCCCGCCCCGCAGGCCCGGCTGCCGCTGGGGCACCTGGCTCCCCGCCCCTCCCCTTGAGTGTGACCTGCCCTCCCCCAGGCAGGGTCTTGAAGGGGTTTGCAGTGGAGACGGACACTCCCCGGGCTGGCTCTGTAAGGGGTTGAACTGTGTCCCCCAACAGGCCATGCTGACGTGCAGACCAGGACCTGTGAGCGCGACCTTATTTGCATACAGTCTTTGCAGAGGATCGAGTAAAAGGATGCTGCAGTCGGAAGGGTTCCCATCCAATGTGACCCACGTCCTGATAAGAAGGGGGACTTGGGACACAGAGACAGGCATGGCCAGAGGGAAGGAAGTGTGGAGACACGGGGAATGCCAGGTGCAGGTTTGGGTAAAGCTGCCACCAGCCAAGGGACGTCTGGGTGACCGGAAGCTGAAAGAGGCAGCAAGGCCCCTCCCCTGCAGGCTCCAGAGGGCGCTAGGCCCTGCCCTCCCCTATCAGGGACCCCGGGTGCTGACCTGCGAGACACCGCATCCTGCGGCTCTGGGCCACGCGGTGTTTACAACTTGGCAACGGGGCCCCAGAGAATGAACACGGGCGCCTCCATTTCTGCTGAGAAGTGGGGGCAGGGAGGGGACCTCAGGACCTGCCTCGGAGGGGGGCCGCAGGGAGACCCAGGGCCTGAGCCAGGGTACCGAGCCCCTCCTGGGGCCCCCCTCCCCCCGAGGTCAAGGGCGAAGGGCCTCGACCCCCAGAGGGGCCAGCTGCCCTCAAGGCCTGTGACAGCCCCTCATTTACTTGCGTTCTCTCTCTTCCATGCTTTCATGAC